CTTCTGGGAGTTGAAGTCCACCCATCTTTGAGCATCCTGAAGTTGCTCAACAACTTCTGGGAGTTGAAGTCCACCCATCTTTGAGCATCCTGAAGTTGCTCAACAACTTCTGGGAGTTGAAGTCCACCCATCTTTGAGCATGCTGGCTAGGGAATTCTGGGAGTTGAAGTGCACCCATCTTAAAGTTGTCAAGGTTATGAAACATTGTGTTAAGCCATGAAGTAATTCTGAGGAGCTGTTGGAAGATAGAGAATGAATGAATGAATGAATGAATGAATCAATGAATGAATGAATGAATGAATCAATCAATCAATCAATCAATCAGTGAACATACTGCAGTATTTATGTTCGTGCTATCTGATCTTGCAGACTTCTGATGATGTGGAGGCTAATGGGATTGACTTGGTTTTGATTATGGTTTGTGTGCCAAGGTTCAGAGTTTAGCGTGTGGAGCTTCTCCACCCACCCACCCACCTGCCCTCCTCCTGGCCCAAACTCTCACAGTCTCGTCCTGGCTAAGATATCGGCCAGCGTCTTGTTCAGAAGCCGTTCGTCATCATGGAGAGGTTGCAGCCCCATCAGGAAACTGTAGTCAATCACGTCCAAAGCTTTGAGGAACTGGGTGTCTAACTTCACTTGCTGCACCAACCATGTCTGGTCTTGATCTGGGTGGAGGGGAGAAGGAGGGAGTTTGATGCTCTCTGGAGTCGAGGACCCATAAGGCAGAGAGAGCCAGATCGGCCCTCTCATCCCCTGGGAAGCTCAGGTGCCCTTGTGTCCCTCCAAATGTTGGCACCTTTGTCCTTTTTAAAACAAGGGTATGCAAAACGTCTTCAGCTTGAAATGCTCAAATCAAGCCGCTCCGACCTTACCAGAAGTATTCTAAAACTTTTCTAGCTGTGTTGGAAATGCTCTGAGTTCTAACAAGCTCCACAGCTGTTTGAAACTAGACATGTTTCCAGTTCTGCACACGCTACATGCCCCCGAATAAAAAGCGTCTGGAAAGCCCCTACCTGAACTCGACTTTATTTATCTTTATTGAAGTCAAAATAAAATCACATTTCGTGTTCGTCTTGGCATGGTGCCCAAACCTCTTCATGACGGCCTTGAGCGTTCTTAGCCAGAATAAAATACCTGGCGCGCGTTCAGTTTTATGATTTTATTACGACCACCCCTGCTGACCCGAGACTTCAGGTACCACGGAGGGCGGCGTACGGAAGCTTACCAAGGCAGATCACCTTGTCTTCAAAGTTGCAGTCCTTAAAAACCACAATGATTTCACTGCCATCCGGGGTGGGGTCTGTCCAGCGTCCGACTTGGCACCCTTTGATGTCGTAGCTGCCGGAACAAAAGTCACGGGGTGCATAAATCCACGTTGATCCATTTTGTAGCAAGGATAGGTTTTAGGAAAGAAAGCTCACTTCATAGGGGAGTGTTTCTCAACCTCCAATTCCCAGAATCCTCAGCTGTGGCTATGATTGCAGGGGAACTCTGGGAGTTGAAGTCCTCCCATCTGCAAATTGCCCAGGTTGAGGAGCATTAGCTGATGCTAAAGAGGTTCTTCATCTTCTCCCAAACAGCAGAGCTTTCGTACGGAATATCTCTGCTAGGAATCCAGTCCTAAAGGAGTCTGTTGATCGCACTGAACTTAATGCTCGTGTCTTTTAGCTGAGTGTGGATAAATGTCCAAGGACACACCCATGGACCTCTCTCACTAATCTCCAGCCAAGCTAAGCCATCTTCTATCACTCAGAACCCGTGTGGAGAACTCACCGTTCGGTAATCTTCTCATGTGGGTAGAAGATACTTTGCATGATGATGAAATACCTCTACGGGGAGAAACAGAAAGGGTGAACGGGTACGGTGGAGTTCTTTTCTCTAGACTCCATTTCCCTCATCCCAGCTGTACCTCTTCTTTTAAAACAAAGCAGGGAAATTGATGAAGACCACGGAATGGGGGCTTCTGGAAATAAATCCAGAAATAACCCCCCAGAAAAACAACCGTTGCATTTCGGGGGTCTGTGTTCACTCCCTCGTGCATCTCCATCGCTCTATCTAGGAGAACGATTAGCAGGCCTTTTCAAGGTCAGAACGGTGAAGGCCCACACAACTGTTTTCCTTTAGACGCGTAAGATTTATTCGCCGTAGCGACATAATTAACAATATGTGAATGGGACCAATGCCGTTAAAATGGTCTCATCTTTAAAACAGCAGATTTCCTATTTCTTCGTATAGAATGGTAAAAAAAAACCTTGTTTCCTTGACGAAAAAGAAGCCACTTTTAAAAGTTCTTCCCTATTCATAAAAGTTTGCATTTGATATAACTGTTTATAAAGTTTCCTAAGGACAAGATAAAAGTTGTTGTTATTATGGTTGATTGCACAGTCAGCCAGATGTTTAGACTGGACTTGGCATTTTTATCCACCTACCGAGTCCTTCCCAAGGACCTGGGATAGGCAGATGTTCTTATTGGATGGTGTTAAAGGCATCGTTGCAGGATATAAGCCGTTCCAAGTAAAGCTGGTTTTGCAATGGACTGATGGTGATTTTGTCTATTATTATTATTATTATTATTATTATTATTATTATTATTATTATTATTA